CGTGCCTAAGTAGAAAAAAATATTCTTTTATGTATGAATACGTACTATTTTTTTCTAATAGAAACTATTCGTAAAGGTTACAACGCTCGCTGATTTTATTTGAAAAGTTTAAATTATTTGATTCCAATGCTACATCACATTTAAAATTTTTCACTGACACTGGTGGGACTCGACTGGACCCTGCCTGAGGCATCTCTGGATTATGAATCTTTTGCCTTAGACACTTTTTCAATCGATATAAGCGTCTTATATTTTGTCCATATGTGTTGTGATTAACACAATAAAATAATTTTTTGATAATATAACTTAATAAAATGATATAATTTTAATAAAAATTATATTTTTCGTACTTTTATTGTTAATTTAACCCTTGGCTAATGAGATGAGATCTACAAAATCCCGCACTTCCATTTCGTTATTTTTAAATTTTTATAGTAAAATTTTTTTATTGTTAATTGTTATTAAATAAATAAATAAAGACATGAAAGACTATAAACTTTGAGTAATTATAAAGGAATACAATTAAAAGAAAGAGGAATTCACCTTATCATATAAGATTTTGTTAAATTAATTAAATTTATATATAAATATATAAATCAACGCTTATTATAAACGATTTCTGAAATATTTTAGTGAAAAGATTTTGATAAAATGTTTCACGAATATTTCTAAATTATTTCAATGTTATATTTCAATATAATTTCCAAGTTATCTTTTGGAAAGCTTGCTGTGGAACCCTATGTGGACCCGCCTTATTTGGAAGACTGTATTTTTGAGAACCAAAATCAGGTATTTTGGTTTTACTTCAAACTTATGTGAATTTTACTTCAGTCTAAGACTGTAAGCTAAAATTCTGTAAGACTTTAAACTATTTCAAGAATTGAATAAACGAGACCCTGACTGAATTATATAAATATATGTCTTGTTGTGTTGATGTCTACGGACATCCACATCTGTGCCTATTTTGGGCCTATTTACGAATTTTCCTTTAGAAATTCTTTTGCTTGGCCATATGTAGGCCTAACGATAGCAGAATTTATTAAGGATATCCCCAACAGCGTCTATTTAGGAAATTCTACTATTTTAGGGCTATTTAGGCCCTTTACAGACTTGGTATGCCCCGATAAAATCCTACCTGGGAACTCTGACTGGAATTTTTGAAACGTTTGTATTTCACTAGAACTTACAAGTAAACCTACCCAAAAGTTACACTCCAATTTCTTTCTAATTTAGCACAAATGTAGAAGTACAAAAAATGTTTAGGTTATATTTTTTATTTTGATCTACTTTGAGTTTCACAGGCAATTTATAGTTTTTTAATATTTTCATTCCTATCATCAACAAGTGAAACAAAAATATATAAGAAATAAAATTGAATATAAGATAGAGTTATTGGTTTGCTGATAATGAATATGAAGTCAAATGTGTAAAATTATTTGTATAAAGAATAAAATGTTTAAACAAAACATAAAAAGTTGAAAAAATTATTTATACAAATAATTTCTCGGTTTGGTGGAGATTCCAACCATGTTTGACTAATTTAACACAGATTTGAAATATTTCGGCTGAAATCTCGGCTAAAGAAATTTAGAATGGTTCGTGTCTCAGCTATACCGATTTTGTTAAAATTATTTAACTATATTCAATTTTATTTCTTATGCATTTTTGTTTCACTTGTTGATGGTAAGAGTGAGAACATTGTTTTTTTCATGAGAAATTAATGTATCCTTAAAGTTTTAAGAAAATCTATACTTTCTTATTTGAAGCATATTTTATTATTATAAATAAATATTCTGTTATACAGTACCGAATAATTATTTATCAATTTTTAGATATTTTCTCTGTCAGAATAATGAGTAATTGATTAAAAATTGATAAAAGTGATAAAAAAATGTTCTAATGTCTTAGAGTGTCATAATAATTAGTAAAAAGAATTTTAATAATTATATATTTGATTAACAATATTTATTTTTTTCGCTTTGTACTTTTTCACTATATAAATTTTTTTAAAAAATACATTAGTAACGTAATAACCAAAACTATACGCGCGTAAAGATTTATATAAACAAGCAAAATTTATAAAATAAAAATTGCGACATATGCCATGTGTTCATATAAAAATACACATGTTTATATTGTTCCACATGTTTGTACAAAAATAAACACGTTCTACTTTATCATGGTATGCAAAGAAAAATAAAGAGAAAAATTTGTATGAGACATGAAATACGAAATTATTAATACGAAGTTAAATTGGCAGATACAATTGAAAGACGAACAAACGCGGCAAAATAACAGGACCGCGTCTACTCCCGGAGAAAAGCGTTCAGATAGACGGTGACAGAAATAATTGAGCAAAGAGATGCTATAGCCTTGGCATGCAGCGGTGTACGCTAATGAAAAAGCAACGTTGCCCGAAATAGAATTCTGTATGCGTGCCAAAAAATGCGTTAGCCGTAGTAACTACGAGCTTTCAGAATACGCGTCGCGCATGAAATGCACCTCTCGGCTTTGAAGCGAGAGGAAACTGGAGCACCCCGGGTGCCCTGATCACGATCCCGAAGGAAAGTCCACAGAAGGGCGATACCAACTTTTCTCAAAGATCGCGGCCGGATGAACTTGCATGTACCACACGTTGTTGGATGTTTCGCGAGTGGCTATCGTCGGCGAAAGGCATTCATTTTCGGACCATTCACGACCGGCTCTCGTTAAAAGTGCCCCGTGTCAATAGCGTGCATTCATTCGCACCTGAAACGGTCCGCTGCTCGGCGAGCTCATGAATAAGTTGTCAGTGATTTCCTCGCCGGGCCGCTCGATCGCCGACGCATCTCACTATGACACCATTAAACTTTCCTTAAACCGTTAATAATTCGTGCGTTAATTATTGTTTATTTTTCATCCGTAACGCGCGTCGTCGTACGCAGACGAGGAACTATCGCCAAGTTTTAACAGGCTCGCTGGGAGAGGGGGAGGGATGAGCGACGAGACAGTCGTTGCGTTTCTCTGTTTATTAAATTAGGGAATTAGTAAACGGGGGGAACAACAGGCGGCCTTGCGCAAAAACACGAAACAATGGGAGACCGGCAGAATTTACCAAGGATTGCATCTTGAGAGCTCGCGAGATAGATGCCAGGCAGAAAAGGCAAAAGAGCAGGAGGAGGAGGAGGAGGGGGAGGGGAGGAGGAGAAGGAAGAGGAGGAGGAGGAGGAGGAGGAACACGAAGACGAACTCTTGTCGTGGTTGGCTCCTAAAACATCGAGCGCGAAAGCGACATGCTCTCTTGGTAGATACACCAGCAAGATACGAAAAAGAACGCGAAAGAAAATCTCACGCGACGCGATAAGAAAAATTCCCTCGCTCGGGGAGAAATTAAAGAAGCTAGAGGTACCAAGTACCAACTACTCGTGCTGAGCCGTCGCACTTCAGGTCTCTCCCTCTCTCTCTTCTTCGCCGCAAGTCCTTTTGCGCGCATCCCTCTCGTGGCATCACAGCATGTGCAAGGGAGAGAACAGAGAGGAAGAAAGAAGAGAGCAAGCGCTGAGAGAGGCTCGGAGAGAGAAAGAGACGTGAGGAATGGAGAAGCGAGGTCGTGAAATCCAGCGAGAGAAGAAAAGAAGAGAGAAAAGGAGGGATCAGGAGGAGGTAGCTCTGTCGGGACGCTGCATACCGAGGACTGGAAAACGCATTGTTTAGGCTGCACTCACACACACATACACGTACACCAGCTCAGGTGGGTGTGTCACGAGCGTGAAATACCGGCGAAGTGACTCCGTCGAGAGTGAGTCGGCCTGCACTCCTCACTTGGTGCTCGAGTCGCGCTGGGGATTTCAGCGGACTACTGTTTGAAAGAGATAGATAGATAGATAGATGGGGAGAAAGGAAGAGAGAAAGCGTATTTGATCTATCGACTAGAGACGCGCTTTTCTGCTGATCGATTCCACTCTGATTGCGCGGGCGGACTTGGTCGCGCTCTCCCACGTTGCATTTCAGATCAGCCCACTCGTTCATACTTGGTGCGATCGAGAAACCGAAATCGTATAATCGCTTGTGTTTCAGCGCTAGACTAGACGCCTGCTTCTACAAATTCGCTCGAATTGAATCGCCGCGATTCGAGAATAGCGCGCAGTTGCTTGCAACTGATTAAATAACAACGACGAAGTCCTCTATATATATAATTCAAAAGGTTTTATATATATATATATATATATATATATATATATAAACTCAGATTAAATTCTTACGTTAATGCTGACTGACGTGGGATGCACTAACGGACACGGTGGCACAGTTGTGAAACTCGGGAAATATAAAAGCCTGAAAAGTGGAACGCCACGTCGTAGCGCAGCCTCCATATCTCCCGGTAACTGAGAGTTCCAGCTGATTTTAAAAGATCGCGCTAAGTACGTTGATGGCGACATCCAACGGACGTCGGCCGAATTTATCCCGTCGTGGTAAAGCAGAGCGCAGACTTTAAAACTCGGATAACTCGAATAATATCGTCTTCTCGTTGTGAATAATTTTCTCTCTCCCTCCCCCTCCTTCTTTCTCTCGTAGAGGCACACTCCGCAGCGAGCAGCATCAAAGTCACGAATTAAAATTCAGATAGCTAAAGTAGCCGTTAAAGTGCGCGCGGCAATTAGTTGCGAAACTATATCTCGCCAACCTATAATACCACGTGCTCCCGCCAAGACCCACTCTCAATCATCCTGTTACACGCTCTTGGCGCGATATCGGTCATTAATTACGCGCCCGAATAAGTGAACGACGGTAATTAATGAGCGCTCCTGAGGACCAATAAAAACTTTTATACCGGCCTTTAGAGATATGATGCCGGGTATCCGTCGTTGAGCGCGGAAACGTCGAAATGTCAAATATAAGCGTCACACTAACACGAAGGCGAGCGATAGAACGTGCAAAGGGCGATCAAGCCGATCCAGAGATTTAAGGGACACGGAGCGTAAAGAGCTCCTTCGCTTACAGTTACAGTTCGATGTACTTGCCTGCAAATTGGTTCAGGATAGTCTCGCTCGTCCGGTGGATTCAGGAAATTGCCGTCGTTCACCGCCGAAGATGTCGATCCCCGCGGCGACCTCGGGCCGCCCTCCGGCTCGCCGATCAGCACTTCCGTCCGACCATTTTGGAAAGGGCTGCTCGCGCGACGTTCGCCGATTCTGCCGCTCTGCACCGGTTGCTGCAGGGGCAAATCAGCGCAGTTTTGCGTTTTTAGTGACGGTAATTTACAAGGTGTCCGACAGAGGGCGACACACTTACTCCCGTTTGTGTGTGTCGCACCCTTTGATCAATTTGCAACGCGAATTTCTCCTTAACGAAAATTTAATTAGACATCGCCTCGCTCGCGACTTTGTAACGTTTCGCTTCGGATGCCTTTGCTAACTGTAACCGGGTCACGAATTAAAATTCTGCCCGGCTGAGTCGAATTTAAATTGGACGAGCGATAAATTTTTCGTCGCATTCCTTCTGAGGCTCAAGCCAGAGCGCGCACGAGATATGACACCCATATGCTGACACTTTACGCCGATTTCATCCCTCATTTGACGATCAACATACGAGGAAATAATCACAAGAGAAGATATTATTTCACCGTTAATTCGGAGAAACAAATTCTGTAGAACGTGAATAACAACCTGAAAGCGCCTATTAACGTGTTCAACGTTGGCAATTAAACATGATAAACTACCGATGCCGATTTACTATTCCGGGAAACTGTTTAATAATTGCTTAAGAAATCCAACGGATGTTGCTTATGTAAGCGACGCGCTATCAGTACCGACACACACACCGATGTATTGTCGGAAGGAATGTAACCGGTACATGAACGATCAAGCACGCGGACAATTGCCTGGGGGAAAGAAAAACTTGGTCATGCTAACGTGAAGTTTGGTTTTAACCAGGCTTGCCAATAATTAATTCTTCATTATCGTGTTTAATCGACGATTAATATGAGCCAATTCAACTGCAGACTGCTTAATTGACAATTGACTTGAACAAATTCAATGGGAAACCGTTCGATTAACTATTCCTTTCAACGAATTCAATTAAAGACCGCTCAATTAATATGAGTGAAGAGAATTAAAAATCATTCAATTAATAATTGAACTTAGCAAATTCAATTAAACGGTCTTGGATTGAATCTGCCAAGTTCAATATTTCTTTATATAACTTTTTACGACTTTTCAATAAGTTAAAAAGACTTTAATCACACATCTAAGTTTACACATCTAAGTTTCATCTAAGTACACATCCTAGTCCATCAATTACTATACATATAACAATCATTAAAATCATTTTGGCTTGTTGAAAAATATGTAAAAATCGTAAAAAAGTATGTCACTATGCTGCAAAAAGTTAATTGAATTCGTTAAAATTAATCGTCGATTAAATTATTCTTCGACTGATTTTGCTCGTATTAATCGTCACAATGAATTAGATTGAGACATATTTGCTCAAGTCAATTACTGAGAAAAATTATATTGATACTTTTTCAACTCGGTTTTAAACGAACCAACGCGTATTGCTCAAAAGACGCAGAATTTGTGTGGCTCTTGTAACTCGAGTTTAGCTCTAAAAAGCAGAAGTTCCGTTTCCTTTAGCCAAAACTCACTGGTTCGTTCGTCACAAACAAACTTTGTGTTAACACGACCAAACTTTTTTCTCCGCGCAATATTCGAAGAGAAATAATACGAGAGATTTGCGCCACTAACCAAGAGGTTCGGCTCTTCAGCAGGGTGGCTGTGTTTTTCCAAAGTGTCCTTCCGCTCCTGCGAGGTGTTTTCCACTCGGATGTCCGCCTCTTTTCCTAGTCCTTTGGGGATCGTACCGTTGCTAAGTTTCGTGGAGAAAGCATTCGTCCCCAATTCCCTGAAACAATCAAGGCCAGGGCGAATTAACGAAGCCGCCGCGAATAAGTGATAATTATAAGACGGTCTGCTCCTCAGGACTCGCGCCTATTGCCGCTCAGGTCTCGAGAACTAAAAATGGGCCGCGCAAACGCGCCTACATTGTGAAAGGATATCAATCGCGACAATCGCAATTTGTCACATCCGGCTCGACGCCTCTTATAGGCATTGCGTGCGTTTTCCCGATTACAACAGCCACTGGAGGTTTATTACGCTTTGACAGGAGCATCCCCGGGAGATATTAAGTCTTCGGAAATTAATTACGAGCATTACGCCTGTGAAGCAACATTGCCCTACCATATCCTCAACGCAAATTATCCTTAATCTTGAATTGAAGCACGCGGACCGTAACAAAATAATGATGTCGTTTAAGTGGGAGTTTAAAAACGAGGAAATTCCATGCCGAGTCACAAGCGATTACATTACTGCTGATGTGATAATAATAATAATAATAATAATAATAATAATTTCTGCCTGTATACACAGGAAACAAGAATATGTTTCCATGGAAAATATCTTTATTTTCGACATGTTGATCTTCATTGAGATTACGTAGCGTTAAATGACGACAAGTTACTTTTAGGCGAGAATGCATTCTACATGATTCAACGAAGATAAACCTGTTTTCTTATTATTCAAAAATAATTTTCATTAATGAAAAGCACAAAATGCATTGCATTGACAATACGATGCTTCTAAATATGTGTTATAGGTTCTTCTATCCGCTTACAACCAATATGCTCAAATTAACAATCATTGTTTCATGTACAAGCGACGATACATACTTTTGTTAGAATTTTGAGATCTTGAATTTCAACAATGTTATAATTTTATTTGAATATTGCAACGGTCTCAGAAAAAATACGATTATTTTGATAATAATTATATATATATATATATATTTTTTTTCCGACAGTTTTAAAAATATATTCTCAATTCAATATTTTATGCCTTCCATCAAATAAAAATTGTTTTTGATTGAATAAGAACACGAGTTTCTCTTCATTGAAAAAAATCACATAAAATGTACTCTTGCAAGTAACTTATTTTTGTTTAATGCTATGTAATTTCGTTTGAAAATTAACGTGTCAACGATAAAGATATTTTTCAAACAAGAATAATGTCCTTTTTTTCGGCGCGCTTCACATTGTGCCGAAAGGCATAACCGGTTTGTCCTGTTAAAGATTGCAATAATGAGCACATAAAAACAATACAACTTACTTGTCCGCCAAAGTAAATGTAATTTGGTCATTCGTCACGTCTTTCGGAGCCGACTGTTCGCTCGTGGACGCCACTGCGTCGTTTATCTGAAACATACACCAGAAACGGCGTTGAATAGCACGTGATCTTTATCTGAATTTCATCCTTGAACGGCGTCAATTCACAAATTAGCGCAGGCTAATATCGCGATGGCGTATTTACATGCGGCGATGCGCACGTTGTCACGTTCGATAAACAAATTTCGCGAAGAGAGGAGCTACACCCCCGAGCGCGCGGTAAATTATACTTTTATTTGGTCACGCTGATTAAGAATTTAATCGAATGGAGAGCTACACCGCGCGATCACGTGACGGTAGTACGGCGTATTCAATTCAGTTTTATGAATAACGTGCGAAAGCACGTTCGCACGTGCTGCCGCATTTCTGCGCAATGTAGAAAAAAAAAAGGAAAAAAAGAAAAGACGCGATCGCGCGCATTTATTTTCACCTTCGACGCGTGACGCAAATCCCACGTATCGCGCGGCGACGCGTTTTGGCCATGTCGCTTTATGCTAATTCTTCAAGATATCGGATCCTTTCCAACTGAGCGCACTGATTTGTCACGGATTTGTCACGATAACACAATAAAAAATTAATCGCCAGCATTACACGTTACGTTGCGTAAGTGAAGCAACGCGAAACCGGTCGACCATGCTCAGCGATGAACACGCGACTAGTGAATGCGGGACAATGTCACAATGGTACCGTCTCACGAGACAAGAATACTAACGACTCTTCTTGCAATTAACTTTCCTCAGACACACACAACGACGCTGGCACTCTAATTACCTTCGCGCATCAAGACTTTCCTAGCAGCTTCACGGATCAATTTTTTTTTTAGGGATCCTTTCAAATTTGCTTGACAGTGTATTCATCGAGACGCGATCGATACGTGTGTGCAATCAGAAGAAGATTGACTATGCCGAAGGTGAGATAATTGAAGTCGAAGTTGGCACTATTCACACGTATCGAGAACGATTTCCGATGTCGGATATTCAATTCTAGCAGCCGAATTACTTTGACGGTTTTAACGGGAAACAAGAAGACGATAAATTGTGGAAATATTACAAAAAAGAATCGTTGGCTTTCTATTCTCTTTCTCTTCGAGAAATTAAAATGTTAAGTACACACAATTTACGAAGACGACTGAAGTGTACGACAGCGCCGTCGAATGTGTAAGCCTAGATTACGTGTAGATTATGCACGACACTCGTTCCTAGACGAGGGCTCGTCAACCTGAACGTCCTGAGCGTCTTGCACTCGATGCGCGATGCTGCGAAAAAATCGACGAAATGGCCGGACAATTTCCCGGCGAGTTAATCCGAGGTCCGTTATCTCCGTCCTTTCTATTCAAATGACTCATATATTAATATTAAATAAAGGCAACGGCACGCCCTTGCTCGACGACAACAAGCGGCGCGCCGCGGTATTGATACAACTTGCGATATCGAGGAGACTCGTTCGTTAACAGCCGTCGATTAGCGTTACGACATCTCCTAGCGGTTTCCGTTCGCGATGCGTTCCTCGTGGTATGCGAGTGAACGAGCGAACGAGCGAGCGAGCGTGCCCGTGCAAGATTTTAAACCCGCATGCCATATCGCAATCACGCGAAACGGTCCCGCATACTGCTCTAAAATATTCCAGCCGGAACGCGGTAAATAACGAACGATGTGCGGAGCTTCTATCCTGGCGAGCCGGTCGCCAAACGAGCGAGCACGTCTACGGCATAATTTGTTAATGCGCCATACTGAAAAATTATTTTAGTAGAGTGAAGGCACCAAAAGCGACATAGCGACTTTATTTTTGGATGTTATGTCTTAATATAAAGCTCAAAATATAAATGTAAATATATATACATGTAGTTGGAAGTACCTTCTATCAGATAATATCACATTTTTACTGAAAACACGGTAAATAACGAACGATGTGCGGAGCTTCTATCCTGGCGAGCCGGTCGCCAAATGAGCGAGCGCGTCTACGTACGGCATAATTTGTTAATGCGCCATACTGAAAAATTATTTTAGTAGAGTGAAGGCACCAAAAGCGACATAGCGACTTTATTTTTGGATGTTATGTCTTAATATAAAGCTCAAAATATAAATGTAAATATATATACATGTAGTTGGAAGTACCTTCTATCAGATAATATATCACATTTTTACTGAAATTGTTTCTAGATTTAAAACAAAAAATGTTTTCGTAAAACGCACGAAAATGGAGTTCAAAGAAAATAGGTGCCAAAAGCGACATACCTATTAGAATTTATATAACATGTCGCATATATGATAATATTTGATAATAAATAACTCATTAATGCGTTGAATAATATTTATTTATTCAAAATATAATGTTATAAAAGGGAAATATAATTCAAAAAATAAGAAAAAGGGGCAATTCGAGTTCAAGCACAGGACTAATAGTGCTATGTACCATATGGGGAAATATAATTAAATAAATACATATCTTTTTCCATTTTTTGCATTTTCTCACATATTTTACATGTTATATTTTTAAACTAAATAAAATTTAACTTTACAATAAACAAATGTCACGTCACAATGGGAGGTTATTAATCAAGTTATGTTAGTCACAGAGTATCGCATACTGTAGGTACGTCACTTTAAGACACATTCTCATAAAAATTTTCAAGTTATACAGTAAAAAAGTGATGAAAGTAAAAATATTTAAAAAATATTTAAAAAATATTTTTACAAAAACCAAATGCATGTAGAACTTAATATTGAACAAAATGATAATTATCGCTATTTAGTCTACGTAATTCGACAATAAAAATCATACAAGTAAAACTTGCGAATTTTTAAAATTCGATATTTGCTAATTTAGCATATAAAGGAACAAGAAATATATCAAGTATGCATTTTTTATGACTTAACTGATAGAACGGATTACGTTTATCGGATTAGTTTGGATAAAATACAACATTTAATATATGAGATATAGAGGTATGTCGCTTTTGGCTACTTTCCTCTATGTGAGGACCGACAAGAGCCCTGCTCCCCGGACATTCTGTCCAGTGCAATGGAAATGAAAATTCCACAATATCCTAATGTGTCGTGAAACGTTGGGTTTCTATACAGAAAGAAAAATATTTTTATTTGGAGAATATTTTTATTGTTGACATTTTAAAAATAAGATTAATGTTAAGATGAGATTATATGATGTTGAATAAAGATAAATTCAATCAAGATAAATACAGTCGAATTAACACAATCATTTTCTCACATATAACCAACAATATTGATATTTTTGCTTATATATGAGAAAATGATTGTGTTAATTCGACTATATTCGTCTTGATTGGAGACTAATTAATCTTTGTACAACGTCATACAATCTCATTTTAACATCAATCTTATTTTTAAATTTTTAAAATTTTTAACTATACTATAACGCGACTACAACGTATATTCCGATGTAAATTCATCATCAGTTTAAGATATGCAATAGCTCAAATGTATATGGAGCAACTTAAACAATCGCGCAGTGTCTCTTTAAGAATCAATAGATGAGATGGAAATTATTAGAGCGGCGTTATATCGATAAGGACTCTCTAGGACCCTGCGAGAAATATAGGCTACGTAAACGACACATCCCGCTCCCTGATTTCAACCCCTTGATACTTCCTGATACTTTTGATACCACTTCATACATTTAACCCGGGCGGAGCTTAAGCTAGTTTTTACTGTAAAATTCTCTCGGTGTATTGCACTGAAATATCTGTGAATAGAGTCTTATTGATCCCTTTGCGTTTTAATTAACTACTTGTAAAGCCTTGTTTAATATTAATGATCCCAACGTCAGACGAAATCTCCTTTCGGATTGCGGAAAACGATCTATGCTCATGCCAATCCCGCCAAAGTTGATCAAAGTTAACCGGGCCTTCGCCAAAGTGCCAGTGCTTTCGGACAACGTGTCGGATAACACCAATACTCGAGGCAGATATCGGGTATCGATACCTTTCGAGCAACCTTACACCGCGAATGTCGCGTTCGCGCAATGCCGTTCCTCTTTCCGTGGCGATTTCCTCCCGGCGATGATGACACGACGCCTCTGCCAGGCCGTCTGAGAGCGCGGGGGCGTCATCGGCGACCCGCTGTAACTCGTTATTGCGTAATCGAGAGATGTCGGGCTTTCGGAGAAGCGCGAGCGACTGCAGCAACGATCGCCAAGACACGCAGCGCGCTCTCGTACGTACGCAAGGCTGCGTATAATCGTCGCGAGCTCACCTCTCACTCCGCCAGTTTGCTTTTGCATACCACATTTCATAAGCAGCCTCCGTAGCGATCTCGCTCGCGGCCGATCGATTCATTTGCACGCCGCGCATCGTCGCGCTCAGCAATTCTGACGGAATCCCGCGGTCGCGAGAGGAATAAAAATCTTGTTGGAGGACAAGCGCGAAGAACGCGCGATGTCCTTAGACGAGCTCCATCGGCTTTTATTTATGCGCGATCGAGTTTATAGATTGTAATTTCCGTCGCTCTGGCGACAGAATTGAGGCTGCTCCAAGGTCTCGGTTGAATTTATGACGAATGTTCGGATACTATATTGATGAAAATGTTCAACCGGAAAAGGAACACATTGTCATCGCGCAGAGCAACGGTGAATCTCGATCCAGCTTTGAAAAGTGCAAAAGGTCTTTCGTTCGTTTCGACGCGGTGAGGTATTGCGAGATTGCGTCTCGTCGGTCGAATCTTTGGAATCGCGTTATGAACGGACGATTTCATTAATTGCGTCTCGATTACTCACGTACCTGCTGGTGCAAAATGGCCTCGATGTCGCGCGGCTGGATCTTCTTCAGAGTCGTCAGTTTCTGCAGTCTCTCTCTCGCCCTACTGCGAACAGAGAAAATGTCGGTTTGAAAAGCTGTCGCGTTTATCCTCCGGGAAGACGAACGAGACACTAAAGCGAGTCCCGACAGTCATTCTCATCGCATCCGTGAATCTAATGTTACTATTCGCCGCTTCAGCCTCTCTCGGAAACGCGATGCTATTCCGTTGAAAATCTTTTGCGAGATCTAATTCGTGACAAGCGATCATCCGTTCCTATTAAAAGGTACATCTGAAAAAATAACTCTAGTTGTACTCTGTAACTGTAGCAAGATGTTATTTTTAGTAATTTCGTGTTCTAAGCGAAAACTATTACCGAGAGAATATTCATCTTTCGATATTCTTAACCTTTTGAATTCAGATGCAAGGGTACAGCAATATTCGTCAAAATTTTACTGTTTGGAGCATCCACACTTGTGTAATAGCTGCGGAACTTTTGGATCAGGCAAATATTACGCTAACTGATAGCTTGAGATTTTACATAAAAAATTTGTTCTTCGTTTCCATCACATATTATGCAATACTCCTATTTACTTTGCACGTATTGCGTAAAAGCATTTATAATTCTGTGTAATTAATACGACGTAAACTTTGCAGAAAAATGTCAGTATACTGTCGGTAAAGTTTTCAACAATTTTCTTAGTTGAAAAAAGAAACACGATCGAGCGATGCAATCTTACCGCGGCCGTGACAGATCACACATTGTAACGATCGAAGCGAATGAGTCCCGCGAGTCCGTGAGGAGAAAAGAGATCACAATGCAAAAACGAGAATGTTATAGCGCGTGAGAAACAAGCGCGCGCGCGCGCGCGCGCGATATATTTACGACACGCTTTGTGCGTCTCTCAACGAGTCGTATTGTATTGCTGATATCAGCTGCGAGCACCCCAACAACGTTCGACGCCGCCCTACGGAAGATAACGCTCGTCCAGATCAATATTTCGAACGGCGGCGAGGACTAATACGATGAAGGAAAAAAGAAAATGAACTTCCTGATTTCGCGATATCTCATCACGGACTGTCGTTATCGGCTCGGTTGGGACGCGTGCTTTCGAGCGATCCACGTGACATTTAGATGACGCATTCTCCCGTTTTCCATCAAAAACACATTCGCCCGCTGGACATTACCGCCTTTTATATGACGTTTAATCGATATATACGATTCCGCCCCGCGACAGGAATGTATTTACTGAAAGCAGAGCATTAGACTTCTCTCCCTCTAATATATACACGAAATAATCGTCATGAAAAAATTTTCATTTTTTTCCTTCATTTTCTGAATCTAGTTATCGCTATTCTGTATATATAAAAAAAATTTCGTACATTATTGTATCTTTTCATAAACTATTGCACTGTTCTCAAAGGGCTTGCCAAATAAACGCTTTTCTCTCTCTTTTTCTCTCCCTTCCCCACTCTCCCTTCTTTCTCTCGCCTTGTACCCGGCCTCGTTGTATCGCGCAAATTGCACACGCTACAACACATTCTCAGGATGTTTCCACCTTAGCCGGGTACGCTCATTATCTCACCTTTCGACGGCGATAACCCAGGCGTCTCGTATCCGCCCAACGCTTGGCCCGTCCAGCTTTTCTGTCGAGAATTTACGAAGAATTAATTAGGCAAATTTATCGCATATTTAGTGTGCGTCAAAGGACCCATTAACAGGCCGTGGTTATAGCTAATGGCGGCGGCGGCGGCGGCGGCGGCGGCAGTGGCGGCCGTAACGGAGAGGAGAGCAGAAGTAAATGAAGCGCGTCTCTCGTGAGCCTGACAAATTCCCTGCCTCTCTCTCTCTCTCTCTCTCTCTCTCTCTCTCTCTCTCTCTTTCTCATTCGCTCAGCCGCGTGTTTCCATTAATTTAATATCCCCTCTCGTCCCCGGAGTTTCCCTTTTTCTTCTCGCGCAGGAGGCGACTTGGTGCGCGCGCGAGCATTTTTATTATTTCGCGACGGTTTCCCCGCAATTTAACGGTCATGCCCCTCAAAGGGCACGGCGAGACACGTTTCCGCGCGAGTTCAACCCCGTGCAACAACAGCAGCATGAGCAGCAGCAAGCAATACCTAGCCCGTGCATACTGCGAAAACTTTGCGCGCGCGCGCGCATATACAATACACCCGTATTGTCCTCGTAATTTTTTGCCCGCCGGTTATTTATATCGTCCCTTAGCGGGGAATAACGCGAACCTACCGCGTATCAACCCACTTTTCTATAAAAAAAGAATAAACTGATCGATCGTCGGCTACCGTTCTTAGTGCGGGACGCGTCTTCCTCGGCTTCCTCGTCGTCGATGAATTTTATAGTCGACAGATCAAAATGCTTCCCCACGTCGTCGGGCCGCGCCTCGTAATTCAACAGCTCCGTGAATTTCGGCGGGTCGTCCACGGTCGACTCGTCCGCCACGATCGACCGGCCATCGGGGCCCGAGGTGCGCGACGTGCAGCCACAGAAGATCAACTTGCGGAAGAATTTCGACATGTCCCCACGAGGGAGAGGCGGCAATTTAGCCAACTGATTTGAATTCACCAGCTGAACCGTCGGTCACTCCGCGCGTCGAGCCACGCGGCGCTTTATTTAATCGGCATTGAACCGCATTGATTTAGACTTATTCTTAACCGCGCGCTATTAATAACGACACACGCTGTAATAATGCGACTAGAAATATCTACTTTTTTTATGCGAATTTGATTTCGCGCGCGAGAGACTCTACGGCCGAGAAATCGCGGTTTGCCCGCCGTCCGTGTCCACGGCGAAATGTTTCTCCGCTAATTGGCCGAATGTGAATCTTTCTTTCGCGCACTACCACACAAGGATTCTTTCCGTTACACGGCGACGCTCAGACGACTAACAGTCGTCGTGCAATCCGCGCAAATTCGTCGAATTGGTTGTGACCGACGGAGCCGTTAATGATAGCCGCTAGTTGATCTCGAGTACCGTACATCCGAGCACCGAATGAGAGGCGCTCTATGAGAAAACTTTTCCGAAAGACGTCGGTATTCGCGTGCACGTGTCACGAAACTAGAAAATAAACTCTCCGCCCGCGGCCGACGACTGAGAATGGATAGCACAGACGCATTCACGAAGGAGTTTATATTTGGAACTACTCGCTGGCACAGACGATAAAAATTGACAGAGGGAGTGAGAGAGAGAAAGCGCCCGCCAGTTCAACGCACTTAACGCAGGGCACGAACAAAGACGGAATATCTCGCGAAGGTATTCGCCGCCAAAGTCTCGACAATTTTCACAAAGGCCGGTGAAATAAACGCCAGCGCGATCGATGTGTCGGAGCGTCCTCAGATTCCTGAAATGCTGCTGGACCGTCTCCTCGCAAATCGTTTCATTCTTTTCGCCGCGAGCTGACGCGAACCCCGACCTGGTTTCTTCGCAATCCGCTTTTGGTGCGAGTGGAGAAGCTGATTAAATGTACGTCTGCGACAGGTTTTTACGGCTGACGAGCATTTTTTACGGCTGACGAGAATTCGCGAACAAGAGAGTTCCGATTTAATTCCGCGTTTACTTTCGGTTTGTTTCAAAATATACAGGAGAGACCTAGTTTCTCCTCCGTAATTTTTGTGGGAACATAGAACGGATTGAACGATGCATGACAAAAGTCCGTTCTGTGATATTCGCAACAATAGTCGAGATATTAATTAAAGAAGATTGGTGAATAATCACGCGCGATATGGTAGATGATCTGTAGTGGCGCTGTCTGCCGTTGTATATACTTATATATTAGATTAAACTGAATAAAAATATTCTCTACCATTTTACAAATGACCACATAGATTTTTAGACATTAAGTAAGGAAGATTTGTGCATTATCGCGCAATCATGTTAAAATTTTCTTTCATAGCTTTTATATTTATCTCAATCTGTTCTATGTTCTTATTTAAAATTGCGGAAGAGAGTCTGGGACACCCTGTATAACGACGATGAGAATAATTATTAATCAAACGTAAATCTCTTTCTCTCTCTCTCTCTCTTTCTCTCCAATCTCCTTGGGCGAGACGGATTTGGCGTCTCCGCGATGTGAAGAGCAATTAATGCACAATGCGCGATTCATTGAATCAAATTAGACTTCGAGCAAATTATGCAAGAATGATCCAACCTACAAAATTATGACTTCTGAGTTTTTGTTATCAATAGGTAGTTCATACGTTTTTCTATATAAAACAAAAAAGACCCGAGTTTTATGAACGCCTGAAGTTAAGAAGTTAATTAAGAAAGTTTTTATTTTCTATTAGCCATTTTTTGCTTTTTGCGTTCTATTTTTACTTACTTTTTTAAGGGTTAAACTTCTCAATGAATATCTTAAAAGAGAAGAAAATCGATCGTGCTTGACTTCTTGAATGATTTCTTTGAAGAAACTCGTCAGTGTTACTCTGTACTTTTTTAGTCATATATTGACATTTCATCTTCATTTTTCTCGAAACGTACTTCACATGGGTTGTGGATAACTCTTGCATAACTACGGCTAATTAATTCCAACGAACTCCTTTTATTCCTCACGCGTTCGCAGTTCAGCGGTTCGCGAGGAGCATTTTCGAGATCAAAAACGGATTCTCGCACGGCGGCTGTTGCCAGTTCTGGACAAAGGAATTAACGTGACAAGATAATGAGGAAACGCATGTTAAAGAAGAAGATTGCGCGTCACGTTAATTTTGCGGTTTATTCATTGTTAGGGCAAAAGAAAATTTTGAGCGTACATTTTCAAGAGCTGCTGGTCCCTCGCTCTGCTGGTGAGAAATGCAGCTCGGCAGGTCCGTAATTTTCAATATAAAATTGAAGCGCACGTGGCGCGTGTATGTACTTCGCACTTTGTTGTTTCTCAAACGTACGTGAGCGTGCGCCGCGATTGCATATCAGCTGAAACGCTCTAGGCCAAGTCTCCGTGAAACACTCCACGTCACTACCTGCTACAATCATTGCCTTAAAGCCTTTTGTGCGCCGCCGAACGACAGGCAGAGACATGCATGGAGTGTGTATGTGTGTGCATATCGCAGAAAATTCAGGCCACTCCTCCGTTCCTTTTCAAAATGTTCTGGCGCGACTCCAGAAGGTATTGAAACATGGCTCGGTAATTCGGCGAAAGTGTGTTTTCATCACGAAAACACCCATTTCGTATTCCTCGGCGTTTCAGTCGCGTCGTGAAACGATCTTGACAGCCACGAGCTGTCCTATGAATGCCGTGTGCGCGATGCCGGGGCTTTGCCGAATTTGCCTTTGGACGAGCGAAACTCCGCGAGATTTTGCCGTGCAAAGTCGAGGGACCCGGCGGACCGCGGAATATCGCTCGGAGGGAACGACTCGTTGCGCACGTTGAAATCGCGAAACCGCGACAGGAGGAAGAGAACTCGCAACATTCGCGCACAGACGCAGGAATAAATAAAATGCGAATATCCCCATAGGTATTACCAGCGCGCCCCGATATTGTATTACTGCATAATTACGGTGCGGCCGCGGCATTACTATCACTTTATCAACGTGCAAATTAATTATGTGCAAATTAACAACGCAATTAATATGTACGTAATTAATGTGCAAATTCCTCGTCGGCGGCCACGATTCTCATTTGAGGCGGCGGGCGCGAGAGCAGTCTCATTTTCGTAGCGTGTTTGCGATGAATGCGACATCCGTACACGGCGAACAGAATGCAGAGTCAAATCGCATTTGGCGTTAAATACGGCGCACAATGAAGGCGTGGCGAATGCGAGCCGAAGAGAATCTGCAAAGGTAGAACGGACGGAGGGGCGCACGCTACTTGTTCGCAAATTCGGCGACGCGATAAATTCAAATCAAGCAAATTCAGTTCTGCCTTGATATCAACGTCGGGGTTTGGAGTCCCCTTAATGATCCGGAGGTGTCTACTTCGTTGGAACGGTAACTAGATGCACACGCCGTACGCGCACGTGAGTACAAGCGCGGCATCAATCCACACCGCGTTACGTCAAGTACGCTCCACACAAGTGCGTAAGCTGAAACGCTTTTCGAAAGATAACCCGAGCTGTTCGATGGCCGAACAACAGCTAACTTGCAAATGATTAACGCCATGCGGGAGCGGAGAAAGTGAAGAGAAACAAAAAACTAGAGATACGCTAACGGAAGTTATCGTTTGAAAGCGAGGAGCAGTGTTAGAGACACTGAAGATTAAAATGTCGCTTTCCTAAAGAAATCGGCAAGTCATCGTCAAAATTAATCAATCGTCATATACTGAGAGAAAAAGAATATATTTAAAATAGAGCAAATATTTATTTGGCACACTAACTGGTACACTAACAACATATTCACTTGTACTAATATAAAATATTTTTCAAACAAGATGTTCATTTCCTTGGTACCTTAAAAAAATCTTAGTTTTTCACAAATGCAATTATTTATTCTATCCGAGTGAAAGAATTTAGATTTAAGTAAATATGTTATATCTCCTGCCGAGTAAATATTTACTATTTCTTTTTCTCTATATATATATATATATATATATATATATATATATATATATAAAATCATAAATAATTTCATCGATTGATAAAATTAATCAAACCCTGATTACACGCACAACGTAGCCGAGTAAACAAGAAACAAGACGCCTGGCG